CCCGCTCGCTCGGCCGCGGCGCCCCTCCTCCCCGCCCCTCACGGCGCCGGCCTCCCCTGACACCCGGCTTCACCTTCACACACCCCCAAGCACTTCCCGAGTCCTGCCTCCCCTCGCGGGGCGCCCACCCTCCACTGCAGTTTTTCCGCGCTTCCATGAAAGAATGCACCTACTTGGGCTTCTCCCCGCCTCTGCCCCGCTGTCGCCGAGGGGGGCTGGCGCCCCCGAGCTCGCCGACCCTGCGCCTGGCTCGCGGGGAGGGGGCCGTACCCGCGCCCCGGGGCCTCCCCGCCGCGCCTCGCCGCTCACCTCTCGCCCTCCGCCGCGGGCTGCAGCCTCCGCCCGCCTCACGCTCCGGGACTCGTCCCCCCCGGGCTCTCGCCAGGCGCCCGAGCGCCTCCTTTCTCTCCCGGGGACTCCGCGTCTCCTCGCCGCTTCCCGCTTTCCCTAACCCCCCCAGCACCCCAACTCCCCAGTTTTCGCGGCGCCTCTGGGATGCAACTCGCGCTTGCCGCGCACTCCGGCCGCGATCTCCGCACACAAAAAACAGTCCTCCCGGCGGCGCAGGGCTCTCCGGAGCTCGGCGCAGGAAGGGCAGTCGCAGCCGGGGGTGGGGACCTGGCGCCCCCCGCGCGCCGCCCGCCTCTCGCCCGCCCTCGCGGCCCCCGGGGAAGGCGCGGTTACCGGCTCGGGTCGGTCACGCCGTCAGGTGCCGGCTGCCGTCGGCGCTGACCTTCGCCGCCGAAGCTGTGGCTGAGGCTGCGGCCGCCATGTTCCCGTGTTAATAACTGCTGCCTGGTTGTTTATTTCAATGGAGATCCTCCCCCAACTCCCTCCTCCTCCTTCTCCTCCTCCTCCTCCTCCTCCTCCGCGTCTCCGCACTTGCGGAGAGAAACCCAGACCGCGCGAGCTCGCGAGCAGGGGAGGGGGCTCGGAAGCCTGGCAGTCCCTCCCTCCGCCTCCCGGGCCGCGGCCGTCACCGAGTCCTGTCACTGCGGGAAGGACGGGGCGGAAACTTGCCTCCGGAGCCCCCGGGGAGGGAGCAAAGGTGAACGGCGGGCTCTCCGGAGAGCAGACCCCGGCCGCGGGCTCCGCCGCATCCCCGTCGCGGGTCCCCGGAGTGAGCGACTCGGGGGAGGTGCGGAGTGAGGGGAGAAGAAAGAAGGGGACAAAATGGGTGACTGGCAGAAGGGAGAGTGACCTATGGGTGACTGGAATTGAAGGAAGAATAAACAGATGACTCCATGGGAGGGCAAAGGGCAATGCCAAAAAAGAAAGCGAGCGAGTGGAACAGACACGGGCCGCTAAGTGGAGGCAGCCGGGACCTTGGAAGATGCAGACGGTGGGGAAGGTGCCCCGGGATACAGAGTGGGAAGAGCCGAGGGCTGGGTTCGCTCCCGGCAGGAGCCTCCCGCCGCGCGCGGGCCGGGCCCCTCGGTGAGCAGCCTGCGCCCCTCGGGGCGCTGCGCCCGCGGTGGGGGGAAGGGCTGCCGCGCTACCTGCAGGCACCCCTCCTCCACGTAGTGCCCCCTCTTCTCCGTCCTCCCGGGATCCGCTGCTTCGGTTGCTGTCTGATTTCCAGAGAGGATGGACGGGCGCTGTGGGGACAGAGTGGAGTGGCTCCCAGCAATTGCTCGTCAAGCAAAAACTGCTCACAATGTGTAAAACCTAAACAGGTTTAGCTTTCCAGGTCCCAGAATCACAAAAGTTTTCATTGCAAAGTCCACTTTCCAGACATCAGTGTGAAGTAATAGAGGGGATAGAGATGGGGAGAATTGTACTAAAGTGTGAGGAAACCCCTCATTTAAATGATACTTAGGTGACTTTATACTTTGTGGGGGGAAGACTTTTCTCCAATTTAAGTATCATTACTAGTCTCAAAAATGAGCCAACATCTGACTAATGGAGGAAAATATTAGAGAACAAACTTCCTTAACAGTGAAAAAGGACCACTTGTTACAGTGATTGTGTTTATTGAACCCGTGCTATGTCTGACACTGCTGAGTGCTTTTATGTAGATTTTAGTCCTCAAACATTATGACGTAATATTTTTTTATCATGACCTCATTAAAAATTCAAAGTTAAAAGTAACTTGCATAGTAGGGTCACCAACAGGAAATTGGGATTCAAGACCAGTTCTGATGGACTTCGTAGTATTTTTAATCCACTCAAGTGTATAAAAATACCACCAGTTTTATTCCAGAAAATAACATGTAAATGTATGTTTCTTTGACTATGCATGGAAAATATTTGGAAAGCTCTTAACAAAATGTTAGCACTGGAGAGTACTATAAGAGTATTGTGTAGTGGAGTATTTCCACTGTTCAATTTATATATACACTTAAAGAGTGTTGGGAATGACCACACTGAGTGTTAACTTTCTAAGTTTTTAATTTTTCTTTTTTTTAAGTACTTGACATAAAGGGATTGTGTTCCCTGTAAACTCAAAAGTAGTGCTCTTGTGAGTGGCTTTTGTTGTTTGGCTGGTTGTTTTGGTGCTTTTCTTTTCTTTTTATGACCTTCATCTCTCTTCCATTACTCCTCTAACGTGTTCCAAAAAGAGATTCTGGTTTTCTTTTCTGCCCTCAGTTCCAACTCTGAGATGTCTAAAGTTGTGATAAAAGCTTGGCTGCCTTGCTTCCCCTCTTACTGTTTTAGTTTTTATTCCATCCCTCCTCAGAATTCCAAAGTCCTTCAAGTGCTTTTAACAGCAGATTTCACACTTTTAAGAAAGCCACCCATGGTATCTCTGCAAATGAATGACTTCCTATTACATTTCCATGTTACTCAATAAAACCTGTTTCTACGTACTCAAGATAATACAACAGTTTCTACAAAAAAGTAAAACAACAAAAATACCTGGCCACTAGATATCTACTTATGTGTTTAATGAACTCCATTCCCAAGTGCTGTTATGTTGTTGTTATGTGCCATCGAGTCATCTGTGACTCATAGCGACCCTATGTACAACAGCCCTAAACCGTGCTCTATCCCCAGTCTCATTGCCTCTGACACACCCATCCCGATTACCCTAGTCACTAAATCAATCCACCTCATAGAGGGTCTTCCCCTCCTGTGCTGTCCCTCCACTCTACCCAGGATGATGTCCCTCTCCAAAGACCTGTCTCTCCTTACAACATGTCCAAAGTATGTCAGGCGAAGCCCCAGAATACTTGCCTCCAAGGAGCAGCCTGGTTTAACCCTCTCCAGGATGAATCTGTTTGTTTTCTTGGCAGTCCATGGTACATTCAATACTCTTCTCCAGCACCACAGCTCAAAGGCGTCAATTCTCTTTCTATCCTCCCTAGTCATTGTCCAACTCTCTGATGCATAACAAGTGATTGCAAAAACCATGGCCTGTATCAGGCACACCTTAGTCTCCAGAGAGACACTGTTGCTCTTGAGTACTTTAGAGAGGTCCCTAACCGCAGACTTCCCCATTGTAATACATTTTTTTATTTCCTGGCTACTGGTGCCAAGAGTGTTGACCGTGGAGCCGAGCAAACTGAAGCTGTGAACACTCTCAATCTCTTTGCCATCCATCCTGATGCTACCGATTGGTCGGGTGGTGAGTTGATTAAAATCTGTTATCATATCTGACCCTCCAGTGGATTCCCAAGGCTGTAAATTGCACAGGAGACAGCTCATCTCTGAACAGCTTTTGGATTCTGGCTACCAGATGGCCTTTGGGTTAGCATCAAAGCAAGGTGGCCCCCTACTGACTATACCACCAGAGCTTTGTGGGTGCCACTTAAGTTACCTCAAATTCTGAGGAATTGGTACCTTCTCTCTGGATTACCTCTCCATAGTTAGAACAATATTCTGACTTGTACTAGAGTTCTGTTTTTTTGTCTTTCACTAAAGTATAGATTACTAGGCCCCAGGATCATGTATTGTTCTTGTTTGTACATTCTATAGCACCTAGCAAGGTTCTCCATAATGGCTATTGTTTTACTGAATCTATAATATAAACAATGGTATTTGATATATCAGATACTGCTAAAATACTGTGTGTACTGAACAGTATTTCTGTGCTATCAACCACATCTCAACCATCAATCCCTTCCTTAGAAAACATGCATATAGAAAATGTTATTTTCAGTGTTTCATAAGCACCTGAACTACTCAGATCTCAAAACAGTTATTTGTAATAATTAGTCATAGCTTTAATTTGATAATGTAAAATGAAAGGAAGATGCCATAAATAAGTTGGCTAAATAACAAAAAGAAAGCAAAGATATAGGAACTGGGTATATTACCAAGAGGAGGACAATTCAGTAAGGAAAGAATGTGGGTGCAAATCATAAAGGGGAAGGAAATTATTGAAATTTAGTAGAAGCAGAAACTAGGAAGACCCTGGATGGATAAGACAAGGAAGCAAACCAAAAGGAAAAATGTCAGCATTATTAGAAATTAAAGAAGTGAATAACAATGAGAATGTGTGCTTTTAACAATATGTTGTTATGTGCTGTCAAGATGGAAAAAAACCCATAAAGCAGGTTTTCAAAGGCTGTAAATCACACTCAAAGAGATTGCCTGTCTTCTGCAGAGCTACTTGTGAATCCAAACCTCCTGTCTTTAACAATATAGTTAGAAGAAGAAGGGGGAGAGAGTGTTACCAGTATCATAAAAACCCCCTCTTTGGGAAAAAAATAAATAAAAATTAAAAAAAATTTTTTTAAACCCCTCTTTGTCATATAGTCAGAGCCATTCAGAACCAGTGACTCCTAGAGGGCCCACCAGTGAGTTTTCATAGTTTGTAAATCTCATGGAAGGAAATTGCCCATCTTTCTTCCACAGATTTATTGAGGGATTCAAACCACATGCCTTTGAGTTGGCAGTGCACCGCCTTACCCAATAGGCCACCAGAGCTCTGCCATCGGCAGTTGACTCATAGCTAACCCTCCAGCGGCTTTTCAGAGGCAGTAAATCGCACAGGAGATTGCCCATCCTCCCAAAGAGCAGCGGCTGGATTTGAACTATGTGCTTTGTGGGCTTGCAGCATCTTACCATTCAGGCACCAGAGTGCCCAACCAGTATGATAGTGTGATAGTGTAACTTTTATCTGCCATCTCTTTCTCATTGAATTTTCAAACTACTATCTTCTCCATACATGTTGCGTAAAAGTTGGAGATTCAATACTATTTTTGTGTTTATTAATACTACTCATAGGCATCATGATATAGAACTAGACTCTCCTACTCATTATGTGCCCTTAGACAAGTCAATATACATCTCAATATATTTGTATACATTTTGCAAAAGTAAATGTAAAGTCTTTATGTTGTTAAATGCTCCCTAGTCTAGTACAACTCTTATTGATCCTATGAACAACAGATCTAAACACTGTCCTGTCCTATGCCAACCTCACAATCTGACACACTTGAGCCCATTGCTGAAGTTGCTATGTCAGTCCATTTGGTTGAGGAAACTCCTCTTTCACCGCCCCTCCACCTTTCCCAGCATAATATCCTTCTCCAAGGAACAGCCTATCCTGTGACTCAGATAAGAGTGAGAATCCCAGAACACTTGATTGTGCTTATGCAAAGCCTATACTTGGACCAGGAGGTAATCATCAGAATAGAGCAAGGAAACACTACATGGTTCAAAATTGGGAAGGGGGTGAGTCAAGGATGTGTCCTATCTCCATATCTTCTCAACGTATATGCGGAACACATTATACAGGAACCTGGGCTCTATGAGAAGTGTGGCATCAGGATTGGAGGTAGACTCATGAACAATCTGCATTATGCAGATGACACAACCCTGT